AAGTGATGCAAGTTCCATGAAGTCACCACATGAGCTCGTCTCAGGTGAACATCGACACGAGATTGCGACATGATTGCCACATGTGTTCTGTGGTGCAACATAGTGCAGCACTCAAAGCGGCTTTAAGAACCACCGGACGCTCACGGCAAGGCAGGCCTTGCTAAAATCTGTTGAAGGGAGACTTAGCCCCTTGGCAGCATGACACAAACTCATTCTTGGCACGGCCCACAAAAAAATGTGGGAGCGGGAGGGAAACTGGGTGCGATTCAGGGGGTATGAACAGAATCAAAACTGATCCAGCCACTTTAGGTTTCGCTTTGGGTAAATCAACCACTCGCCTGGACGCCTCCGAAACCCTCCCCGCAAGCTCCGAACGACCCGAGCGCTTGCTTATTGCAGAGACCCCTTCCCAGGACTTGGCCATTTGGCACCGAGGACAAGTTGGTTCCGTCCTGCAAGGACTGCGCGGAAGGCTTCGGTGTGTCCACGCCCGGTGGGCCTTCCGGGCCCTCCTCCTCCTCGATCTGGGCATCCTGGGAGGCTTCCCCCGGAGGCACCTTTTTACATCCCTGGGTCAAATGGGCGTGTGTTTCTTAGAGCTGGTCCCCCTTCCAAGGTTGGTTGAAAAGGGAAACCAAAGAAACACCACCATCTTGGGGGTTCCATGTATGGAATTCACAGGGTGACCTGTCTGTGTCCCCCAATTCCATGGTTGGTAGACACATGCGCAGTGTGGATCCAACACGCGTGGTCGCTGAAAAAAGGACTTCCCAATTCACAACACGCTGCATTTGTGCAGGTGTGCCCATTGATCCACATGAACAACTGCGCCTGTGGTGATTTACCGCATGGCCAATGAAAGGGCTCGATTCTGGCAGAATTCAAATCAATGCAAGAGGCAAACCCGGGAATTTGGTCACTCGAAGCGTCTCAGGTCTCCATCCAAATCCATACATAGAAATACAAGGCTCATGGTCGAGCTCACAAAGCATAGCAAAGGACCCTCCGTGAGCTTTTCCCTGAATTCTAAAATCAAGAATCCAACGGCTCCAGGAATACACGGGGCGAGCTAAACCATGACCCCGCCCCCTGAAAACACCAAATCTCTCTCCATCCAAATCCATACATAGAAATACAAGGCTCATGGTCGAGCTCACAAAGCATAGCAAAGGACCCTCCGTGAGCTTTTCCCTGAATTCTAAAATCAAGAATCCAACGGCTCCAGGAATACACGGGGCGAGCTAAACCATGACCCCGCCCCCTGAAAACACCAAATCTCTGTGGCAGTTGCCCCCAATACAAAAAGTTTAGCTTGTTCTTGGTTAGTGCAGAAACCCGCTCCCACAAATTTGAAGACCCAACCACATAGCTGATAAGAAATGTTCATCATTGCATGGTTGCCACATCCATGGCCGCATGCACACACGAACGTGGCTTCCCAGGTTCTCTCTTGAGCCCAACCCAAACAAGGGTATCCTCAAGAAAGGACACCCTCAAATCTAGAACAAACTCCACCACCCCAAATTGCCCCCTCAAACCACTACCCCCGAAAACAGGTTGCATAACCAAGAAATAACCAATACATAAAGGTGTTGAACTATACTTCAGCGCTACATAAAAATAACCCACGCACAATCAACTAACCCCAACATCCGACCTCCAGCCCGAAAGCCGCCAGGAGCTCCGTCCAATTGAAGCCCTCGTGCGCCTGGCGACCGAGCGACAGCGAGAGAGCGGGCTATCCCCAGGTTGTTGAAACTTGGTGACTATCTGTTCCACCTACTAGTAGATTGCTTTTGCAACTACAAAAATGATCGAATGAAGGTCTCCTCAACATTGAAAGCTGCCAAAGGGAGGCTCTCACGCTGGAACTGGCTGGGAAGTCTGACTTGAGATAGTCATTCAGAGCCAGCAAATTCTCTCCTGGAAATGTCACTGGACCACGTCCAGGTACATGGTTGGTACATCCACTGTTTGTAACCATGTATTGGGCAAGAATCTCTTGAAGCAATAGATGCGTGCTTATGCCCGGCAAAGCATCTCGTGCTCCGCGTGGGCTTGCTGGGGGCACTCCGAGAGGCATACCATGTCTCAGTGGCAAAGGTCTTGTCCACCTAAGCCTCTCCCTGATCCCGTGGCGTGTTTCCGGATTTGTGGGGCTTGCAGGATTCGCACTTGTCTGGCTCCGACTCATTTTTGAAGCCAAAAGTTGAACGACTGCCTAGATAACCTGGTTGCAAAACCAGGATGTCCTTGACATGTGCTGGATAGTGTAGCGCCAAATAAGCTGAAACAAGGGCAACATTCGCGGACCAATCACAGACTTGAAGGGTTCCCTTGAACAAACGCCACACCCTATGGAATCCTCTCAAATGGATTTATTGACCTAAAGTCACACTGACTCTGGGGACAAACTAAACGCTCATGGGAATGTCAATGTGCACGCTCAACGGATCAAAGCATTCATCGAAGGTCGGAGGTGTCCAGTTTGTGTTTCAGTTCCTGCACCGATGGCCAGCACACCTTGTTTGGGTTTGGGTTCAAAGGCAGACCACAAAGGAAAAACGGGGCAGAATCCTCTGGGCAACTTAGCTTTGTAGTGTTGTGCAACCAGCGGGTGTTAGAGGCGAATGTGCCAAAGCCCCGAAGTGCGCAGCAATGTGCTCATAGCTTGAAACAACGTGCTGGCCAAGTCGAATCAAATCCAACTGGGTGCCATTCTGAGAACCAGCATCCGCACACCTAAACTAATATAGTTCACGAATACGGGCAACAAGGCTCCCAGACTTCGATTCGAAGCAACACAACAAATACAACAACTCCATGCTTGACTTCCGAGATCTCTCAAAGCACGACTGGTTGCGGAGCATCAGCTTGGCCGAGTTCCCGCCAGAGCCTGAGCAAGCTTGGCTAAGGTTGCCGCGGCGCATTCCAGCTGTTGCATGGCCTTGCATTGAAACAGGCGACAGGATGGATGCGCAGAGTCTGAGAGCAAATTCAGAGGCTCTGCAATGGATCTGAGGATCTGATCCATTGAAACCTAGGAATTCTGACTCTTCAAACAAAGGTTCAGGTCACGGAGCGGTCAAAAGCTGCACGGTCCGCCCCTTTTTCCTTGTCTGACAATCAAATGCGTTGCTCACTGTCGTGGCGTGCATCCAATGCGATGGGCTCATAGTCCAATTATCTTGACCCTAGCCACCAACTTTGGCCCCATGATTTGACCATCAACATCACCCCTCCAGTGATAGCTGTAAGAGAAACCCCGTTCCTGCCTTTGAACACGCTAGGGGCGATCAATGGGACCAGCATTTGTAATCTTCGGTGCGGGGCAGGATTTTGCCATGAAAACCCCTTTTTTTACGTAGGCTCCCGGTGATGCTTCTTGGAAACATGGGCTCCCCCCGACAAGCTACTAACAAAAGGTTGTGGATTCCCTTGGTAGATCCAAGCATAGTTGCAAACACACCTTGAGCCAAACATATTTGTTCTGTGGTGTTCATGCTTTGAAAGCGTGTCTACCCCACAGTTCCCTCATGTTACATGGTGTCAATGCTCAAAGCATGTGACCAGTGAACTGATCTTCGGGCACTTTAGGAGTCATAGCAGGACCAAGCTATGCACTTCCCACAAAAGCTTCTATCGGAAGAGGCATCCAAGTCAGTTATTTGTGACATTCAGAATTCGCCCCTTCCGGCTGTGCACCCAAATGCTTTGGCCCATCGCGTGAGGTCTCGCGTCTCAAGTCGCCCGCTCAGAATGTGGGCATTCAAAAAGAGCAAAGGGAGCCAAAGGGAGCTGCCACAAGCCAAAGCAAAGACCAAACAAGGGGCTTTGGGAAAGGCTTTGACATAGAAGCCAGGAAGCCAGTAATTGACAGCTTTGTCCTTGCACCTGTGCGTGTTTGCTGTTGGGCATGGAGGACAGGCTTCATGTTTTTCGTCTTTGCCACTTTGCGGCCAAAGTTCACAGCCCCCTTCAGCTTCAGCGATCACTTGCGAGCGATGTGCAAACCTGGCAGCGGCGGATGTGTGTTGTGACAGGAACTCTGCGCGCCCTGCAGAAAAAAGCTGGGACCCCGTGTTTTCAACCCCCAAACCAGCATTTTGACCTCCATTTCCCCTTTTGGCACCTGAAACACGGGTTTGGGGTTGGAAAAACAATTGGGTCCTCCTTTTGGGGCTGCTGCTTGCTTTGGCTGGGCATCCCTGAATCCGCGCCTGCGACTTTAGCTGCCATAAAGCTTCAAGTCGTACCTACGACACAGGTGCCGTCCGAAGCATCAGCATATCTACCATAGTTGTGGTGCGAAAGGGTGTTTGTTGAAAAAGAAAACCCGGAAATGCGCTTCTCTTCCTTTGTCTTTGTTTCCCTTTGAGCCACCCCAAAAGGATAGCCCCCCAAAGAAACAAAACACCCAAAAGCTTTGATAGCGGGGCATTGTGAGGCCCGAAACTCTTTCAGGTGACTGCTGATTGCACCAGCAGCAACTGGGCACTTGATGTTCAAGGCGCCCATGGGGTCCAGGGTGCGGTAGATCATCTCGACCTGATCACCCAATAGACCAGAGACGTGGTGTTTGTCTTACGGGTATGAGTTTTCTTGGCCAGTTTGGTGGAAATGATACGATGTGGGTTCATGTCCACCAGACCAGCACCGCAAACGGAAGGACTCCTTGGCGCACATTCTTGAGAATTGTCCACCAGCCCCCATTTGAACACCGCTGGTTAAACAAAGGTGATGACCTTCTCGAAAGACTGCTTCCTATGAACGGCCACCCGACGAGGTGTTTGATTTAGATGTGGCCACTGCCAACACTTGCTGTTGCCCTAACCTGGACATGGGAAAATTAGAGAGCCCCCTTGGGCGGTTGAAATATAAGGGAGCCCCTGACGCCGGCAATGAACCACAGACACGTCAGAATATCTTGACCAAACCTCACGTGTGTGTGTGTGTGTGTGTGTCAAAACGAGGACCCCCTCTGCAAAATGGTAGTGGTCGTTGTCGTTTCCCTTTAAGACTTTGAGCCTACCAGGGTGCCAGAGAGTCAAATGTGAGTCGGATGGCCTCCTCCGAGGTGCGGTAGTTCACCGTGTACATCCAGGTCAGTGGGATGGTGGTGAGCGCAATGCAGGCCAGGTTCCTGGGGCTCCAGGCGCGTTTTCTGGGAGGCGGTTGGGGGGTTGGGGGGGGTGGAAAGTGAACGGGGTTTGGTTCGCAAAGAAAAGGCGGCCTCCAAAAAGGGCAGGCAACTCTCATGCTTAAAACCCAGAAGCAACTCGAAGCAATGCAGGAGGTTCTCAACTCTGGCAAACCTCAAGGCCCGGGCGGGCCCGAGCGAATAGCACCAACACGAAACTCGACATTCACCGAGGCCCCCACCAATTGTACCACTTCACGCGGTCCTCCACCAGCGGACGCGTTTGTCGTGTTTCGGACACGCCTCCCAAAAAATCAGCAGGCCGCTTAAGCCAAATTGCACTTGCAACGCTGCTTTTCGCTGATTAAACGCCTTTGGGGTGTTTTGAGGTTCACACTTGCAGCCCTAGCAACCAATGGCAAGCGCGCATCCCACAAGCTCAAGTCACAGGCAACACCTTCCCGTTGTGTGCCCCCTTTTGACTGCTCGAATTAACATGGAACCCGAAAATGATAATTGGACCCCAGGAGGAGATGCCTCAATGATAGTTTTCGGGGTTCCATGTTTTTCTCTTGGGAGTAAGTGTCGCGAAATGCAGAACTCCTCATTCCATCATGCCCTACTTGTCGGTCCACTTTGGGGGAGGGGGGGGGGGGCGCTGCGGCCCGTCCTCGTCCATCAAGTTGGACCGCCGAGCAAAGCGGCTCTTCGAGAACTCCGGGACTTCGATCTGCCGATCGATCGGTCAGATTGGCTAGACAAATGTGTCTCCTTTTAGGGAGCCCCCTTGTTGGTTGGTGTCAAAGGGAAACCAAAAGGAGTACCACCACTTTTTGGGTTCCCAAATTTCAAGACACGCCCATATTGCTTCGTACAAAAGCTTTGTGTTCGGCTGGTTCAAACCGGTTTACCTCTACCAACATGGCTGACAAAGGGTCCCTCATGTTGTGGTAGGACGAACAGGGTTCTTTAAAGCACACATCCAAAAGCCCAGCTGTTTTTGAACGGGATCCTCTAAAAAAGCTGTATTTGGTTGAATTTACGTGGCCCAAAAGTGTATCCTCCAAGAGATCCTGAGGACAGTCATGACAAGTGACCACAATGAGAGAATAGTGCCATCGACTCTCACCCAACTGCAAGCTTTGGCATAACGGTTGGCCAATGCTACGGGAATCATTCAACAGTAAACAGTCTACCAAATACAGACATACTACACTAATCACTAACTAACAACCACTACAGTTAAGAGTCACTCTGGGCCATCGAGCCTTCATCATACGAAGCCGAGAGAACTGCAAGGCCCCGCGCATCGCCATTGTGATCTGGCGCTTGCGGTTCGAAGGGCCAAGAGCGAAGTGGGAACACAGGATTCATCAGAGTAAACGACTAAAATGGTGGAGCCCTGTTGGTGTTTGAAGGGAACCCCACAGGAAAGTCAATCGTTGTTGGGGACCACTATAATTAGAGTCCCATGAACACCACCTGGAACAAGATGCCTCAGGATCAGGCGGGTTGGCCTTGACGGACATGGTAATCTTGATGCGTAGAATGGCTGATTAATTCTGAAGGAGAGACCCTTGACAAAAAAGGGACTCTTCACTGTTGTTTGTTGGGGGGGAGGAAACAAACCCCTGTTGGAAGACTGCTTTCCTCTTGGAAATGGAGCCTATGCACTTCCATGTTCGTAGATGTCTGCTGGGAATGGATCTTTCGCTGCATCTAGGTCCAGCCAGCATTCAACTTCACCTCAGCTTAACCCGAGTCATCATGGTCTACCCAAAACCCATGGTGAAGAGTCAAACGTGTGGATATCCGAACCTATTCCTAGTTGGGACTGTCCCTTGCCACTTACCCGGGCTTTGATTGTGGCTCACGTGATCCCAAAAACCAGTCATAGACCGAAGGCAAAGTCCTTTTTGTTGGGGGGATCCGCAACTACTGTTGAACAAACAGGAAATACTAACCACTAGTTGTGGGGAGGTTGTATCCACCAACGAATTTGGAGGGTCGCCAAAAAAATAATAAAAACCAAATGTCGGCATTTTTCACAATAATTCCCTACCTGAAATCAGAATTGGATTCGTTCCCTCCTGTCCAATCTGTCTAGCCTCATCCGCAGCTATGTTAGTGGGGGGCGTATATATCATGGATTTGCGCTCGATGCCCCCCAAAAATCGGCGAGCTAGAAACCCATAAAATCGACAGATTCATACCATTTCGACCAGCCTCGGCCCTTACCGCCCGCTTGTTGTTCAATGGATATTCAAATGGTGCCACTTGTTGGACGACCGGCAGATCCTACCCATCCACGCCTGCTTCCGGTGCGGGATGCGGCGTTCTTCCCCCTGGAGCCTAGCCCTGCGGTCCCAAATTGGCCAACATTCCCATGGACCAGGCCCTAGTCTTGAGAAGGCCCATTTGTTAGCCAGAGCGGTGAGGCTTCGGATGCAAATAACATGAATGCATGCCATGAAGGTTGCCTGGCACCTCACAACTGAGTGATTCAGCTGTTGTCCCTCAGATTCTCAGCCAGCAACAGCCCGGCGACTGCGAGCACGTCACACCATATTTTAGCACGTTCCCGAAGATTAATACAAGCATCTGGGTGTGTTATTTGCTTAGAGAACCTCCTTTCGGCGGGCTTTCAAGCGAAACCAAATCCCCCTATATTGACACAAACCCATCATCTCACCAATGGTCCAACGGCTTGCGCGGATGCGTGGAAGTCTGGGCTCCCAAGCTGCGCTTAACGCCGTAAGTCTCCCGAGCCAAAGCTGCGGTCGGGTTCTAACGTCCATTAATATCCTCGAGCAAAAAAGCATCTGCTTTGGCCCCACTTCACCGTCAAAATCATTGATAATGTGGTCAAAATCATTTGCCCAGACCTAGGGCTTGCCCAGTCCGCGCTCCCCAAAAGCAGGGCCCAGTGTCGTCAAGCTTTAACGGCCACGTATAGCCAGAAAATTCTGGAGCCTGCCCGAAAAATAGTGAAAGCCTCAAGCGCACCTTTTGACTCAAGCATCCAGCTTAGTGTCCTCGCATGCTTTGCAATACCATTCCTTTGAGGAAACTATCTCGCCAACTGCAAAACTCTCTTGCCAACTGCCAATTTCCGCATGTCGTACATGTGTGAAGCAAAAAACAAATCGAGTGCCGAGTCCAGAATCTTTGAGCCAAATGCAGTGTGCCCTAATCAATCGCTTGTCGAGCAGTCGAACAGGAACTTTGGGCCTTAAGCTAATCAATGAGCCACTGGCAGCGGAACGCACGCTCACTCTCCCCACAAATGGTGTTGGTTTGCCGAAACAGGCTGAAAATAGGACCCACGAAAAGTACAAACACACTGGGCTGCCCTCACACCCCCTGCCAACAGTTAAACCTGTACCGGGTTAAATGCAAACCCCACTAAACGCTAAAAAAGCCGAAAAGCTGGGCATACAAACATCCATTCAAGACTTTGTCCCAATCTTCTTCCGCTGCACACTGACCAGAATCACTCACGCTTTCCTCACTTGCCCTGCTCCATTGGCACCTGCCCGTCTCGAGGATCTGCCACACCTAGCCCGCGGGCGCCAAAAGGTCACAGCAGAAACTACCAGCCCACAGAAACAAAAGCAACAACTGTCACATCAGATCTGCAACCACCACAGTGGCAACTGCACCACTCCAGCCCCTAGCGCTAGCAATTGTTGACCCGCAACACATGTCTCAGCGAGGCTGGCCTCGCATCAGTAAAGCAGAATAGCGTATGTATTCCATGTCGTGAAACTATGGGATGTGGGCCCTCCAAGCATTGCTTGGGCTCTCCAAGCATTAATTGGGCAACTTGACATGGTTGGACAATGACCCGGAAACAAACCAGCGTCGCAACACTATTCTGCGTCCCAAGTCAAGTCACGCTCATGTATGCAAACAAGGAAGGCCGGGAATGCAAAGCAGCCCAAGCCACAGCGTATGTCTTGCGGGCCACCAAATGCAACAACCAGGCAAGTGTGGAGCAGGCTTGTCAGAATGCCTAGATTTAACAGCACCTTGCTTCTTGCAAGTTGCCTCAGCTGACTTGCAACGAAACGAACTAAATCACCGCCCCGAGCTTTCTGACTCACAAATCTCTTGCTCCGGCTCGGCCTCCGCCACTTAGCTGCCGTACAGCTTCAAGTCATACCTACGGGGCGTCCCGCCATGAGACCTGCAAAACGAGTCCCCTGCGTTTGGGCTCGCAAAATGAAAGGCAACCTAATGCTTGCAATCGAAACCTTGCAAAAGAGTCGAGCGAACCATACTGAGACTATGTCCATCCCAACTGACAGCAAGGACTAAGGACACATCCGTCCATTTGGGTTTGTCTCAAAATTGGGGGAACCCTCAAAATGGGCGGTTTCCTTTTGGTTCTCCCTGAAAACCGCCCCGAAAACGGCAGTCTCAAGAAATATCGCCACAGCCATTTGAAGGTTGAAGGATTGGAAGGCTTGGACTTCTCTTGCGAGGCTCGACTCGATTGACGGGCACTTGATGTTCAAGGCGCCCATGGGGTCCAAGGTGCGGTAGATCATCTCCACCTGCACAGCTGCAATTTGGACTTGCAAACCTGGGGGCAGCTCCCTTTGAGTTGCTACACTTTTGTGGGGATGTCGTGGTAAATGGGTAGATGGGAGGTCAAAAAATAGGAAATCACCAATCCCCTTTTGGGCAAAATATCGCGGCCTTGGGGCAGTGAAGGGCAAACTCTTCGGGGAACCGCCCCACGACGGCTCCAGACCCAAGCCCGCGTTCATCATGGTTGGGGGAGTGTGGGCAAATTGTCCGGTCTACGCTCCACTCCTAGCGAATTTTAGGACCTTAACTTATGTAGCAGAAACTTACCTGGAGGAGACCGCGGGCAAAGCAACCGCGGCCGTGTAAAACACAACTGAGTGCAGCATTTGGTACTTCCAGCTGAGCTTGCACGCGCACGCACAACATGCATTGCAGGATATTGCAGGGATCAGGATTTGAGTCTGCAACTATTCCTGCTGGAAAGACACGCAAACAAGTTCACAACTGCTCGACAGCAACAGATTGGGACCTGAGCACATATTCCCGGTGGTTTGGCGCACAGCAAATTGGCCTGACCTAACGACACGCAATGAAAATATATCTGTGATAGTGTTGCTCCCCTTGAACAAACATAAGCACAGCCAAGTAGGAAAATACAAATGTGCAAACATGGTGCCCAGAGCGACCATCCACTTTGCAGGAAATGTCATGGAGGCTAGGATTGATGCCCACACTGTCGCACCATGTCGTCCTTTTCACATGCGGCCACTTCGTAAGCCTCTTCTAAACCATGCTTCTGGATTTTGTCTGATATCGGAGGCAAGAACTGGCTAAAGTCAACATGAAACAAGCACACCTCATGAAAGGAAGTGCCACCACACCTTTGGAGGTTGTCCTTTCGCCATGTTCCATCCAACAGGGCAATCCTGTCAAGCCAGAATCTCCCGACCTTTATCACTCAGAGATCCAAGACTGTCTTGTTGCAAGCTTCCCCTCTGGCGATGAAGGATTCGTCCGGAGAGATGACGTGATTGCCTGTCCTATACGGGCATGATCCTTGCTGGCATCTGAAAGGAAATACCATCTGCGCGTATCCAAACATTAGCCACAGCACTGCTATAAGCAACATTCATCCAGCAACCCAGTAGAATTGGAAGCAAACAAGCATCCATGGTCATCAATGCTGCCCTGACCTTTGCAGCCTCTTGCGGCACTGGGCTGGGAAATGTATGCAGGATCTTAGTTCGCTCATGGAAATGCCCGAGGTCACTTTGAGGAGCACAAAACAGGAAAGGCTGGCGCGAATGAAAGACGTTAAAAGAGAACCTGCGCTTTGAATGGCATGCTCGCCGTGAGGAAGAGAGGCTCAGTGTGCGGAGTGCAGCTTTGCAACGCCCACTCCTGGCAAAGGCAACATGGAGGGCGATTGAGCCACGGTCAGGAAGCATGCTCAACCACAATACTAGTCTAGCGCAAAACAAAGTCTGGTCAAAGCTGCAACCTTCGCAGCCGCTTGCGGCACCTCCGGCAGCACAGGGCCGTGAAGCCACCTCTCAACTCGTTCACGGGAACGCATGTGGCTAGCCATGTGCTTTCAGGGGCAAGAACAGAGAACAAGCCCGGCGAAAGCTGTTCACCAAGCTCCGCTTTGAATGGCATGGTGAACAGAGGATCAATGTGCGGAGTGTAGCTTTGCACCTGGCAAAAGCGATGAGGAGAGACATACTGCGTTTAAGCCTGAGGCATGCTTCGGATTACGCAAGGTTCGCAACCAGCGTCGGCAAGTCTGAGGCAAAGTCTGAGGCCCAGTCGGAGGCCAACTGTGCCAGCCCCGATGGCAATTTCAGTCTTGGGGGACAGATGACTGTGTCACTGCTCGTATCGAACCAGAGTGATCCAGCTCTCGACTCATGGGCAAAAGTCAGCCCATTGCAAACGAGACTATCTCTGATGGTGGAAAACGCCTCGCGCTCTCCAATTGCAATGTTCAAAGCCGCAGCGCTTGTTCGAGAAGCTGGCAGAAAATAGCACACCGCGCTTTGGGCAGTTGGACACAATGGCTCGCATTGGCCAAGCACATTTCGCAGAGCATCAGCTTCGCAAGTGACGCCTAACATGGTCAAAACAAAACAACCGCGCAAGGGCTGCGAACATGTGGCCTTGCCAGTGCTGCAAGGCAAGCCATCAAACGACCGCCAGGAGCATTGTGTCTGCCAACCACGGCAGCAGTCTGAAGCTGAAGTTTGCCACGAAGTTTGGGGCACTGCCAAACTGCTGCTTGGGTCAATTCGCTGCGTGCTTTGCTCAATTCAAGGCAAAATGACAGTATTCATGGGTCATCTAATGCTACTCCTGCCAACACAAACCTCAGTCCATCCTTTCGAGATTGCCTTAGGGCCAAGACTCCGTCCAAGTCAAAGGCGAGATGCCAGACTGCAATGCAACAGACTCGAGCCACCGATAGTAGCTACAATTCTTGAAACTTCCAAGCAGCCTTAGAACAAAGGCTGAGATTCAGAGGTGCGCAAGCGCTGAGATGAGTCTCAGCCTTGATAGCCGCTGTGGGATGGTAGGTCCACCAAGCTTAGCGTCAAACTCCCGCAGCTGGAGCTTCGCAAAGTTCCAGGCACGACCCGGTTTGCCGGCCTCAACACCGCTTGCTGATTGCAAAGTCATCACAAAGCATTGCCATCCGAGCGCAGCCTGCGCCTTTTGAATTCAATCCGCAGGCCTGTGTGGTTTTATTACAAAGTTTGCCCAAAGCGCAACCTCTCGCCAGCTACCTTGATTCGGAAACAGCCACTGGAGGGGATAGACAAAGGTT